GTCAGCAAGGTCATTCAGGTGTCCCTGGACTGTCCCCAGACTGCCCACAGGCCAATGCCCCAGGGACACAGCGGCTCTGACAGCCGTTCCCCACTTCTCTCCCTCCGCCCCCAGGGACTTTGCCTACGTGGCCCGGGACCAGCTGACCCAGATGCTGAAGTGCCACGTGTTTCGGTGCGAGGCCCCGGCCAAGAACATCGCCACCAGCCTGCACGAGATCTGCGCCAAGGTGACCCTCCCGGGACCCGCACTCCCGGGGGTCCCCACCCCACGTCCACCAGCCTGCACGAGGTCTGTGCCAGGCTGAGACCCTCCTGGGGAGACCTCCCTGCCCCATCATCTCAGCCTGCGGTGGGCTCGTGCCCCAGGGCTCTCCGGGAAGATGCCCGCGGGGTATGGGGCGGGTGGGAACGGATCCTGGTGAAGGGAGCAGGCTGACCCCCGTGCTCCCTGTGCCCCCAGATCATGGTGGAGCGGCGCAGTGCACGGGCACTGACAAACGGCCTGGCGCTGGATCACTCCAAGATGGTGGAGATCCCTTTCCAAGGTGGGGTGTCCCCAGCCCCCGGGGAGCGGAGGGGGTGGGCAGGGGAACGGGAAGGGAGGTCGGGGGCTGCCTTGTGGGCTCTGGAGTCAGCCAGGGGGGACAGGCTGTGGGGCCCAGAGTTGGCCAAAGGCCTTGAAGGTGGAGGTGCTGGCCATTGGGATGGTACAAGGGCAGTGGGATGGTCGATGGAGGTGCTAGCCAAAGGGCTGGATGCACCCTTGTGCACCCCAGCCCCCCCGTGCGGGTGCAGGCAGGGCCCCCGGCAGCTCCCTTCTTGCTCTGGTCCCTGCAGTGGAGTTTCCGGCGCCCAAGAGCGACCTGGTGCAGCGGTTCCAAGTCTGCTACCTGGGCAGCGTCCCCGTCACCAAGCCCGTGGGTACGGAGCGGCTGGGCAGAGGGGGTGGTGGGCGGGGGCGAGGACAGGAGCTGAGGCCTGACGGGAGCTGGTGCTGCAGGCATGGACGTGATCAACACGGCACTGGAATCGGCGCTGGCCAGCAGCAAGGAGCACTGGACGCCCGTGGTCGTCAGCGTGGCCCCTGCCACCCTCACCATCACCCACGAGCAGGTGAGCGCCGTGCCGGGCGGGTGGGGGTGTGCTTCTTGACCCCCATTACCCTAGGCCCAGCCTGGGGCTGGGATCCGCACCTGCTGCCTGCATGGCGCCCTAGCACCTGGCTCGGGGTCAGCCTAGACCCACAGCCCCATGCATGGGGCAGCGGTGGGGGTCCCTAGTGTGCGTGGGCACGACCTCCTGCCACTGCGGTCCCAGCAGACAGAAGCAGTGCCGGGGGCCGTGGTTGTGGGCAGGGGGTGGCGGGAGCGGGCCTCCCTGATGGCCGTGTCCTGGCAGACGGGGGCGGTGCTGGGGGGGTGGCAGGAGCAGGCCCCCCTGATGGCCGTGTCCCAGCAGACGGAGGCGGTGCTGTGCGAGTGCCGCGTGCGCTTCCTGTCCTTCATGGGCGTGGGGCGTGATGTGCGCTCCTTCGCCTTCATCATGGCCCGCGCCCCCGGCGACTTCCGCTGCCACTCGGTGGGGTG